ATGTATAACAAATCACATCAGTATTTTATCAACTATACCATGTGACTTAAATCGCAGTGACTATGATGTCAAGGAAAATCGAATTTATTTATCCTGAACGGTTCCATGAAATGTTACAAATGTAATGATTAAATTGGAAGGAAGATATGTAGGTGTTAATAAAACTGACAAAATTGGGAAGAAAGATATGTGATTGTCAAGTAAAGTGATGGAAAACTTGCGAAGAACATGTCAGTGTCAATTACATTGGCCGAATTAGGAAGGATGATATGTGAGCGTCAATGAAACTGACCGAATTAAGAAAGTAATACATGTGAGTGACAATGAAATTGACCGAATTAAGAAAGTAATACATGTGAGTGTCAATGAAACTGACCGAATTGAGAAAGTAATACATGTAAGTGTCAATGAAACTGACCGAATTAAGAAAGATATACGTGTCAATGAAAATCGTTTATTGGTCGTTTTGTTTACCGGTAAGATTACCAATGATGCATGGCTCGCCGAATGAATGACTGGTGTATTTAAAATTAACCTTTCCTATCCTGTCATCCGTTCGATCCCCGATTGGCGGGAATAAATAAAAGGCCCCGATTAGGTCTAACATATATACCATTTAGCCATTCTCTTTTAAATGTACCCTCAAAGGGATGCACACGCGATGGCGCTCTCAAGCGATCTTTGTTGAATGATCGATGGTTACATTGACCGTTTTGTATGCATTGATTACTCCACATTCCGCGGTTAAGCCAGTTGATTGGTAAATGATTGCGAGGCTCCGGATAAAAACAACAAATAAAAACATCAGATAATGTTGTTGTCATGACAAAATCACATTTCAGTCGACTGATTCTGTTCGCTTATTGACCTGTATCGTTTATCTGAGTTCTTTGTCTTTTCTTCAATTGTTATTATTATTTTATCAATAAAAATACACAGAAAAAAGTTGCTTTACTTTTTAATTTAAATTGCGGCAATTCTTAACCAGAATGTAATTATCTTGTTTTCTATTCATTCACACACATGTTAAATGATGTTTACGAGTAATTATGAACAAGATCAACTTTTCTTCTTTTAAACTTTGGTTTAATTGAAACTGTTTTTACTCCGATAACTAATAACTGTCTTGTGGCTAATACCTCTTAATGTGCAAATAAATTCATCACTATTCAATTGATGTTATCGTGATCGTCTGTAAACACGAGTTGATGGTACTACGCAGTACCAGAACCCAACAAACCCGAAGTCACCATTGGAAGTGTGACGTGGGTGGCGATCAAGGTCAATTGCGCATATTCGCATATATATACGTAATTGTGTGTTTACCGCGTCGTCCATGGCGCATTAGAAAGCCATGGGGATTTGGAATCGTGATCAATCCTAAATCCTTAGTGAGATATATGATTACTCTGACAAGATGTATCAAACTAAGCTGAGTCCCAGTCGAGTCTGGCATAGATATGTACTACGCAAACTTTAAGAATATTCTTTCCTTCCTGTTATATAATCGACAGATCCGTGTCACTTTCTTTGAGAAACATAGAATTACATCTAAATACGATTAATTAATAACATCTTTCCACCTTTTCGGCCTCTAGCATCACCGATGAATCCACAAATGAGAGCTATATAGTGCAGTTATTTATATTTGGAATATTGTATCTTATTCCAAATGTTAAAGGTGCAACCATGCGTGTGTCTCGTGATCATCTATGATGAACCAGGGACCGATAACTCTTCTCAGACTCAAGCATAAGTTTTGTGCTCAAACTATCTTTCTTATAACTTAACCAGTAGCTGCGACGACCAGGATAAAAATAAACAGGGGAACTTTTTCTCTAGCACAAACAACAAAGTAAATAAATAAATATATACATATATAAATGTACTATCATAGTTTGATAAGGAACTGATGCTGAGAACAAAATCTGCGTTTCAACAGTAGTTTAGACCAAATTTGGTTCCAACTTTTGGTAGCAAGCATCACCGGTGAGTCGTACGAGGACAAACAGCTGTGTGCTGCAGTTTATGCAACGTTAATCTTTGAAAACAAAAGACGTCGTCAATCTTTTTGTAATGGTGAAAAAATGTATCGTATATTTAAATGCCTTGCAACCACATGCAATCAACCATCGCACCTTCGTAAAAAAAAGGGCAAGAGGACGTGACGTTTGGATGTTTCCAAAGGAGAAATATACATCATGTGCACAAAGGTAGAATGGGTTTAATTAAAGTGTTTTTTTATACCTCGTGCTTTTAATGTAACAAAACAACGTTTAATTCCTTTCCATTCTTAAGAAAATATTCCTTGTAAACGGATTTCCTCTACCGTTATACCATTAATGAACCGTTATTTGAAAGACTCTGATGCACTGTCTACCATCTGGGGTACTAATATTCTAGCACGATTTAATGTTACGTATTCTCGACACTAAGTTTGTGAATTCTGTCTTTCAGTGCATCTTCGTGAACCCATCGGAATGTACCGTGCGTTTGGTCCATGTTGATCTTGACAATGCCGTAGTGTCTCAATATATCGGCCATTAGGCTCGCCTGATACATTCCTATGATACATCAACCATTGTTTACATAAGAGCTATTTTTATCCGTATAGATACACTATATATACCCAATAGACTTACGATCGAAGTGGCGTAAAAGCACTGTAAATTGTCAGAGTACAAATGATGGTTTCTAGCAAAGTACTAGCACTATGGTGCTCCTGACGACCGTCAGTTTATCCGGACTCGTTAGATTTCGTTAGAGTTCCCACCATTAGAGGGGTCATTAGCATCTCTCTGACCTCAAGACTGAATGACGTACTCATAACCGTGCTGTAAGTGCCAATATGAAGCGTGGTAGACTGCCATATTCAGGCATGATGGATAGTCAACGTGGATTTTGTCACGTTATTCCCCTATGGAAACCAAGAAGTGAAACTGCCGCAAAAATGGTCAGGCTACTAATGGGCAGCCATAGTGTGATGAGGTTGTATATAAATGGCAGCCGGGGAGATGGTCGATTTGATGATTTTTTTCTATAATTTGGATAAATCAGGACGTTTTTTACCAAAACAATTTGCTAAATTGTCATATGCGAGCTAAGTGTCAATCTTGATTAAATACATGCGCACTGTGTTCTTTATATTTATTGGTGTAGCATTCTATCATATTATTATATACTTTTGGTTTAATGCTTAATCCATATACTGACCTTTGATACTTGAACTTATCGTTTCTTGTGAAAGCATTATAATCCAATTAACCACAGTCTTGTATCTTGTAGAATTTACAAGTTAAGAAAAGTAGAATAATCAATATGACAACGTCTGAAAATAAGAGTCTGAACAGAAGATGCCTTTCGGAAGGCTTCGGATTTGAATTAAAATGATAAATGACTCAGCCGCACCAAATCAAAATATGCTCTGGGTGTGTTTAAAACATTATTGAGGGCCGTAAACAAACCAACACCACGGACAAACAACACATATTAATGAATAAATGAACAAAGGATCATAATGAATAATCTAGCCATCCCGGCACTCCCCACTTGTTCAAATATTGGTGGAGAATAGATGTTTAAATAACTGAAAAAAAGACCAATGCATCATTGTAAACCTGTTTTAGCCCGATTTTATCATCGTGTGATGATCACTCTCCGACACGCCGCACCAGTAGCATTTAACATTTATAACAGAAATTATCACTGCATCTAACAAAGGTCACCCAGTGCGACGTGTTTCGTCGATAAACTAATAACTGACGAACACTAATTTCTGTAATAACCACCTACGTAACTGAAATCGGTAAAATATATATCAGTATTAAAAAGACCTTTGTTGTGTATTTAATAATGTCTGGCCTGGTACTTTTCCGCATTCTACACAACCAGATTTATAGTTGCTAGTAGTTAATCCAGTTTCCTCAAATCACATTTTTCTTTGTTAAAATTACCTGACTGGCATTTCCATTATTACGTCATCCATCATACCTACTGCCCACACAGTACACTAACGGATAAAGAGGTGAACTTAAACTCGATAATCGTGATATGCCAGGAGTGTGCTCTATTGATTTCTAAGAGGTAAATAAACTGACATACAAATAGAACTTAACGGAAAGCTATCCCACAGGGAGCTCCGTACCTTGTGTCTCTTCCCACCTCCTATCACACAGGGAGGTCTGAACCTGATGTCTCTTCCCACCTCCTATCACACAGGGAGGCCTGAACCTGATGTCTCACCTCATACGACACAGGGAGGCCTGAACCTGATGTCTCACCTCCTACCACACAGGGAGGGCATAACGTGATGTCTCACCTCCTACCACACAGGGAGGTCATAACCTGATGTCTCTTCCCACCTCCTATCACACAGGGAGGCCTGAACCTGATGTGTCACCTCCTACCACACAGGGAGGTCAGAACCTGATGTCTTTTCCCACCTCCTATCACACAGGGAGGTCAGTACCTGATGTCTCTTCCAACCTCCTATCACACAGGGAGGTCAGAACCTGACGTCTCACCTCCTATCACACAGGGAGGCCTGAACCTGATGTCTCACCTCATACCACATAGGGAGGCCTGAACCTGATGTCTCACCTCCTATCACACATGGAGGTCTGAACCAGATGTCTCACCTCCTATCACACAGGGAGGTCAGAACCTGATGTCTCTTCCCGACTCATACCACACAGGGAGGTCTGAACCTGATGTCTCTTCCCACCTCCTGTCACACAGGGAGGTCATAACCTGATGTTTCACCTCCTACCACACAGGGAGGTCAGAACCTGATATCTCTTTCCATCACCTATCACACAGGGAGGTCAGAACCTGATGTCTCTTCCCACCTTCTATCACACAGGGAGGTCTGAACCTGATGTCTCACCACCTATCACACAGGGAGGTCAGAACCTGATGTCTCTTCCCACCTTCTATCACACAGGGAGGTCTGAACCTGATGTCTCTTCCCACCTCATACCACACAGGGAGGTCTGAACCTGATGTCTCTTCCCACCTTCTATCACACAGGGAGGTCTGAACCTGATGTCTCACCTCCTATCACACAGGGAGGTCAGAACCTGATGTCTCTTCCCACCTTCTATCACACAGGGAGGTCTGAACCTGATGTCTCACCACCTATCACACAGGGAGGTCAGAACCTGATGTCTCTTCCCACCTTCTATCACACAGGGAGGTCTGAACCTGATGTTTCACCTCCTATCACACAGGGAGGTCATAACCTGATGTCTCTTCCCACCTTCTATCCCACAGGGAGGTCTGAACCTGATGTCTCACCACCTATCACCCAGGGAGGTCAGAACCTGATGTCTCTTCCCCCCTTCTATCACACAGGGAGGTCTGAACCTGATGTCTCTTCCCACCTCATACCACACAGGGAGGTCTGAACCTGATGTCTCTTCCCACCTTCTATCACACAGGGAGGTCATAACCTAATGTCTCTTCCTACCTCTATCACACAGGGAGGTCTGAACATGATGTCTCTTCCCACCTTCTATCACACAGGGAGGTCTGAACCTGATGTCTCTTCCCGCCTCATACCACGCAGGGAGGTTTGAACCTGATGTCTCTTCCCACCTCATACCACACAGGGAGGTCATAACCTGATGTCTCACCTCCTATCACACAGGGAGGTCAGAACCTGATGTCTCTTCCCACCTCATACCACGCAGGGAGGTTTGAACCTGATGTCTTTTCCCACCTCATACCACACAGGGAGGTCTGAACCTGATGTCTCACCTCCTATCACACAGGGAGCTGCGTACCTGGTGTCTCTTCCCACCTCCTATTACACAGGGAGGTCAGAACCTGATGTCTTACCTCCTATCACACAGGGAGGTCAGAACCCGATGTCTCTTCCCACCTCCTATCACACAGGGAGGTCAGAACCTGATGTCTCACCTCCTTTCACACAGGGAGGTCTGAACCTGATGTCTCACCTCCTATCACACATTGAGGTCTGAACCTGATGTCTCTTCCCACCTCCTGTCACACAGGGAGGTCAGAACCTGATGTCTCTTCCGACCTCCTATCCCACAGGGAGGTCTGAACCTGATGTCTCTTCCCACCTCCTATCACCCAGGGAGGTCAGAACCTGATGTCTCTTCCCACCTTCTATCACACAGGGAGGGCTGAACCTGATGTCTCTTCCGACCTCCTATCACACAGGGATGGCCGAACCTGATGTCTCTTCCGACCTCCTATCCCACAGGGAGGTCTGAACCTGATGTCTCTTCCCACCTCCTATCACACAGGGATGCCCGAACCTGATGTCTCTTCGCACCTCTTGTCACACATGGAGGTCAGAGCCTGGTGTCTCTTCCCACCTCATATCACACAGGGAGGTCTGAACCTGGTGTCTCTTCCCACCTCATATCACACAGGGAGGTCTGAACCTGATGTCTCTTCCCACCTCCTATCACACAGGGAGGCCGGAACATGATGTCTCTTCCCACCTCATACCACACAGGGAGGTCTGAACCTGATGTCTCACCTCCTATCACACAGGGAGGTCTGAACCTGATGTCTCTTCCCATCTCCTATCACACAGGGAGGCCTGGACCTGATGTCTCTTCCCACCTCCTATCACACAGGGAGGTCAGAACCTGATGTCTCTTCCCACCTCCTATCACACAGGGAGGTCTGAACCTGATGTCTCTTCCCACCTCCTATCACACAGGAAGGTCAGTACCTGATGTCTCTTCCCACCTCCTATCACACAGGGAGGTCAGTACCTGATGTCTCTTCCCACCTCCTATCACACAGGGAGGTCTGAACCTGATGTCTCACCTCCTATCACACAGGGAGGTCTGAACCAGATGTCTCTTCCCACCTCATATCACACAGGGAGGTCTGAACCAGATGTCTCTTCCCACCTCATATCACACAGGGAGGTCTGAACCTGGTGTCTCTTCCCACCTCCTATCACACAGGGAGGTCTGAACCAGATGTCTCTTCCCACCTCCTATCACACAGGGAGGTATGAACCTGATGTCTCTTCCCACCTCCTGTCACAAAGGGAGGTCAGAACCTGATGTCTCACCTCCTATCACACAGGATGGTCTGAACCTGATGTCTCACCTCATACCACACAGGGAGGCCTGAACCTGATGTCTCACCTCATACCACACAGGGAGGTCAGAACCTGATGTCTCACCTCCTATCACACAGGGAGGTCAGAACCTGATGTTTCTTCCCACCTCCTATCACACAGGGAGGTCAGAACCTTGCGGTCACTTACTCTGACCCAGAGTAGGTCTGTGACTTGTCATAGGTGACGCTTCCCATCTTCTCACACTCCACAGAGGAGCTGTGACTTCAGGTAAGAAGGCCTGTGATTGGTGGTACAGTAGATCTTCTGACTCTCTACCTCACCAGATGTCTGTTAATGGTGATAATTTTTTTTTTCTATATTCTAAATCAAACTGTATTTATTTCAAATCACTTATGAAATCACGTGTATAATCAGTCTTGTTGACATTGCTAAAAGCATTTTTGGGTCTAAATATGGGAGGAAATCGGTGTATGTGTAGAAAACTAACATTGTTGGGCAGATCTCACGTCTAAGTAGGCTATCGAACCCAAGCCGTCTCGGTGGAATACGATCGTTCTATCCACTGCACAATACGTATGACCTCCAACAACTCTTCCCTCACTTTAATCCTATTCCCCAGATGCTCTCACAGAAAGCTATCCTAAAGGTGGTTTGCATGTGATAATACATTCTTTTCCCACCAATCAACAAGAAAAGCTTCGTCACGGGGACAGTCTTTACCTGAAGGGTATCGCCTTTCCTACACTTGTCACACTACCTTGTTGAGCGAGGGATTTTTCTGACCACCGCATACAAAAATAAAACTGCTTCACTTGGGAAGCATTCCATGGATAGATATATAAATGATGGTTGTCGGATTTGTGCACCTATCTTAACGGAATCCTACACAATATACGGTCTGTACCTGAAGGTTGACTGCTTTTCTCAAACATCCAACATGGAAATCTACCACGTATGCAAGTTTATTCCTGAATATAGATGGATCCCCTTGAACGTTTACCCCTTACGTTAGTACGTAGTACGTAGATCCCCTAAACCACTTTAACCGGAACGTTTACCCCTTACGTTAGCAAATAGATCCCCTCAAACCACTTTAGAACGTCGATCCCCCAAACCACTTTAACCGGAACGTTTACCCCTTACGTAAGTACGTAGATCCCCCAAACCACTTCAACCGGAACGTTAACCCCTTACGTTGGTACGTGGATCCCCTAAACCACTTCAACCGGAACGTTTACCCCTTACGTTAGTACGTAGATCCCATAAACTACTTTAACCGGAACGTTCACCGCTTACGTTAGTACGTGGATCCCCTAACCCACTTTAACCGGAACGTTTACCCCTGACGTTAGTACGTGGATCCCCTAAACCACTTTGACCGGAACGTTTACCCCTTACGTTAGTACGTAGATCCCCAAAACCACTTCAACCGGACGTTAACCCCTTACGTTAGTACGTGGATCCCCTAAACCACTTCAACCGGAACGTTTACCCCTTGCGTAAGTACGTAGATCCCAAAACCACTTTAACCGGAACGTTTACCCCTTACGTTAGTACGTAGATCCCCTAAACCACTTCAACCGGAACGTTTACCCCCTACGTTAGTACGTAGATCCCCTAAACCACTTTAACCGGAACGTTTACCCCCTACGTTAGTACGTAGATCCCCAAAACCACTTTAACCGGAACGTTTACCCCTTACGTTAGTACGTAGATCCCATAAACTACTTTGACCGGAACGTTTACCCCTTACTTTTAGTACGTGGATCCCCTAAACCACTTTGACCGGAACGTTTACCCCTTACGTTAGTACGTAGATCCCCTTAACCACTTTAACAGGAACGTTTACCCCTTACGTTAGTACGTGGATCCCCCAAACCACCTTTACCGCAACGTTTACCCCTTACGTTAGTACGTAGATCCCCTTATCCACTTTAACCGGAACGTTTACCCCTTACGTTAGTACGTGGATCCCCTAAATCACTTTAACCAGAACATTTACCCCTTACGTTAGAACGTAGATCCCCTTAACCACTTTAACCGGAACGTTTACCCCTTACGTTAGTACGTGGATCCCCCAAACCACCTTTACCGCAACGTTTACCCCTTACGTTAGTACGTAGATCCCCTTAACCACTTTAACAGGAACGTTTACCCCTAATATTAGTACGTGGATCCCCTTAACCACTTTAACCGGAACGTTTACCGCTTACGTTAGAACGTGGAACCCCTAAACCACTTTAACCGGAACGTTTACCCCTTACTTTTAGTACGTAGATCCCCTCAAACCACTTTAACCGGAACGTTTACCACTTACGTAAGTACGTAGATCCCCTAAACCACTTTAACCGGAACGTTAACCCCTTACGTTGGTACGTGGATCCCCTAAACCACTTTAACCGGAACGTTTACCCCTTACGTTAGTAAATAGATCCCCTCAAACCACTTTAACCGGAACGTTTATCCCTTACGTTAGTACGTGGAACCCCCAAACCACTTTAACCGGAACGTTTACCCCTTACGTTAGTACGTGGATCCCCTTAACCACTTTGACCGGAACATTTACCCCTTACGTTAGTACTTAGATCCCCTAAACCACTTAACCGGAACGTTTACCCCTTACGTTAGTACGTAGATCCCCTAAACCACTTTGACCGGAACGTTTACCCCTAATGTTAGAACGTGGAACCCCCAAACCACTTTAACCGGAACGTTTATTCATTACGTTACCAGAACGTTTACCCCTTAAGATACCAGAACGTTTACCCCTTACGTTACCAGAACGTTTACCCCTTACGTTAGTACGTAGATCCCCTAAACCACTTTAACCGGAACGTTTTTTCATTACGTTACCAGAACGTTTACCTCTTACATTACCAGAACGTTTACCCCTTACGTTACCAGAACGTTTATTCATTACGTTACCAGAACGTTTACCTCTTACATTACCAGAACGTTTACCCCTTACGTTACCGGAAAGTTTACCCCTTACGTTACCAGAACGTTTATCCCTTACGTTACCGGAAAGTTTACCCCTTACGTTACCAGAACGTTTATCCCTTACGTTACCAGAACGTTTACCCCTTACGTTACCAGAACGTTTATCCCTTACGTTACCAGAACGTTTATCCCTTACGTTACCAGAACGTTTACCCCTTACGTTTCCAGAACGTTTACCCCTTACGTTACCAGAACGTTTATCCCTTACGTTACCAGAACGTTTATCCCTTACGTTACCAGAACGTTTACCCCTTACGTTACCAGAACGTTTACCCCTTACGTTACCAGAACGTTTATCCCTTACGTTACCAGAACGTTTATCCCTTACGTTACCAGAACGTTTACCCCTTACGTTACCAGAACGTTTACCCCTTACGTTACCAGAACGTTTATCCCTTACGTTACCAGAACGTTTATCCCTTACGTTACCAGAACGTTTACCCCTTACGTTACCAGAACGTTTACCCCTTACGTTACCAGAACGTTTATCCCTTACGTTACCAGAACGTTTATCCCTTACGTTACCAGAACGTTTACCCCTTACGTTACCAGAACGTTTACCCCTTACGTTACCAGAACGTTTATCCCTTACGTTACCAGAACGTTTATCCCTTACGTTACCAGAACGTTTACCCCTTACGTTACCAGAACGTTTACCCCTTACGTTACCAGAACGTTTATCCCTTACGTTACCAGAACGTTTATCCCTTACGTTACCAGAACGTTTACCCCTTACGTTACCAGAACGTTTACCCCTTACGTTACCAGAACGTTTACCCCTTACGTTACAGGACTTTATTTATTTTACAGCAATTCTGAATCAAGTTATATAACTTTTATTAATCACTCTTGTTGGCTGAGATGTCAGCGCGCAGGGGTCGTATTGTTGGAGGAAAACAGAATACCCGG